TTTTGGCTTATACCTCATTTAAGCTTTTCTTCAACAGTTACTGCAGGGCTTACTCTATATTACTTCAAGTAATCACCGTCTAGTAGCAAAGCATTTTATACCCTGTCATATGAAGTATAACCTTTGCCCCTCCTGTGTTTTGTTCTAATTTTGTCACACAAGTGTAGTTAATCTATGCTATAAACTCATAATACTATGCCTCTAGTTTTGGTTTTTGTAGTATTTAGAATGAATAAGGATAAGACAAAGTTTTCATATATATATATATATATATCCCTCTTCATTAAAGCCATTCTCAGGGACAGGCCTTGTTTGTTATAGATGAAAAATTTTCCATGCTTTTGTATTTCTTCTGCCCGGGTCTTTTGAACATTCATATAGTACAAATCTGTGGGCACGGAATCCTCTTTTTTCTTAACTGAAAAAGTCCTTATTGCTGTTTCACTTTCAAAAACTGTTTCACTCTATAATATATTCCAGCACTTTATAGATATTACCTTTTAATTCTTTGATTCTGAGGAATAACACTTTGGAAACTTTTTATTTAAACCCCTATATGTAATACTTCTTTTTTTTTTTTCTTTTCCAGTTGATTTAAAGATTTTGCACATTTCTTTTGGTTTCAGGAGTTTGGCTATGATGTGTGTATGACAGTATTTCATTTCTATGTTCTTTTTACCCATTCTCTTTCAATTTGTATAATTTCTGTTTATCCACATTCAAGTTTACCAAGTCTGTCCTCAGCTATGTGGACTGCTGATAAAAGGCATTCTTCATTTCTTCATCACTGGACAACATTTACTTTCAACTCTTCTATCTTCCCTGTCTTGGCCAAAATCACTCTTTTACTCATGTATGTTGCCTAACCTTAGAGCAGATGCTGAACGAGGTGAATCATACTTATTGTAAGTTTCCTCTGTTGGCTTGATGACATCAAGGGCACCAATACAATTTTTTTTATTTTTTTCTGAAAAGTAAATGGCATTTTTGTCTATTTGAATTTATTTTTTTTTCTATTTGAATTTATTATGGTTTCACAAATCATTACTAGTTTGCCAGTCACAGTGTGTAGATACAGAGGATTTGATTAGTATTTTATCTGGCCATGAACTCGCCTCCTTCTCAGCTAGCAAAAATTCTGATGGATTGAATCAATATCATCGGGACTTGAACGTGTTTGAGGTTTTTGTTACCGTGGTTGCACACAAGCAGCAAACTTTTCCAGCTTGAAGCTGAATCTAATGGTGTAAACTTGTTTCTGAGATTTTTATTGGTTTTCTGGCTGTGCCTTCAGCTTTCTGCCTGAACCTCAGCGAAGGTTGCCACACTCTGACCCTCCCAGCAGCTGCTCACCTCCACCTGCTCTCCCATATTCCTGTGGACAGAGGGAAGACTCCCCGAGATCATTCCTTTCCCACAGTGACAGTGCATGTTCAATGATCTGGATTCATACTACATACATACTACATTCCTCTCCCTTCTTCTAACAAGAACTCTTTTCTTTCATTTCATCTTCCATAATAACAGTGGATCCTGCTCATGGTGCAGTGCATTAACTCTGTGAGATACTTCTTCCAAAAGGATAAGCTGTTTATTCCTTAGGGTTTCAGGTGGAGTTTTAGTCTTTTCCCACATTGGTATCTGCTCATATCACCCAAGTTGTACTAGAAAGCATGACTTCTTTCATCTTGTAACCTTTCTGATATTTTTCTTGCACATTTACCATAGCCCATGGACAAAAGCCTAAAAGATAATGTGACTCTTTTGTGTTTATTGAACCCAGAGCTTCTATCATCCCTCTTCAGCCCACACTTTTCCTTATCAATTTTTTCCATGACTCAAATAGTTCATACTTGCTTGTGCAGTGTCTGCTATTTCTTTCTCTAATGCTGTGCCCAAAGGATGCCAGAGCTGCCATTCCTCTTCTCCTTGAAATGTGCCTGTTTTCCTTAAGTCACATGCTAATTGCCCATCTTATGATCTCATCTTACCGATGATCTCAAAAAAAGCTATGTTTTTTTTTTCCAGATGTTCTTTTTTTTTTTTCCTTAGAGTGGGAGTAACCATTTTTCTGGCTTTTTACAGCTTAGTTAAGCAAATTCCAAATGTTTTAGCTCAAATGACTCCTTAAAAATCATTATTTTTTTAGTAACTTCCCCTACTGCTTCTATATTTTAATTGATAAAGTTTATATTTATATTACTCTACAAAGTTATAAACTACAAGAAAACATAATAAAACTTGACAGAAGAAAATCTGATGGCTGCCTTTAAGAAACATGATATAAATTTAGCGATTCCTATTCCTTCCTTTGGAATTTATTCAGAATTAACAAGAACTGTTTCCCTCTGTGTTTCAAAGGCAAATCATTGGACCCAGTACAATGCCTAAACTTTCCCTTGCATGCACCAGGATCCCATATGCTCGCCTATTCATGTCCCGGTACTCCACTTCCCATCCAGCTCCCTGCTTGTGGTCCAAGAAAGCAGTAAATGATGGCCCAAAACCATGGGACTCTGCACCCACAGGGGAGACCCGGAAGAAGCTCCAGGCTCCTGGCTTTGGGTGAGCTCAGCTCTGGCCATTGTGGCTACTTGGGGAGTGTACAGGCAGGTAGAAGCTCTTTCTCTGTGTACTTCTTCTCTCTGTAAATCTGCCTTTCCAATAAAAATAAATAAATATTAACAGAAAGACAAATTGTGGCCAAGCTAGTTCCACCAACTAACACCACACCAATATTGCTACTTTTTCCAACTACCAAGCTATGGGCTACTTTTTAAAACATATGTGGAAGCCTCTATCTTTAGAAAATATACTTAATTACTTTTGCTATAAATCCAACTTCAGAGAAAGGATCACACAAATCATTTCCAGAAAACAGTTTTCAGTAGAATAGACATTGAGGCAACCTTTCAGCTGAAAACAAGGCCATCTTCAAGTATTATCCTCAATTACCCCTCAGAAATCAGCAATTTGTCCAACGGAAACCAGCTTACTTTGGCATGAGTTGTACAAAGAGAATCAGCATGGAACATATGCAGAGATATTAGGAGGAGAAAAAAGGAGAGAAAGAACAAAATCAGCGAACTAGAAAATGTTGCCACAAAACAGAAAAAAATTGGGACTGAACATCTGCCACATTTTTTAGAACTTAAAGCAAAACCATTAACCCAAAATGTAAAAATCAGAAAAGAAATGATAAAATGTGTTGGAAATGAAACACTAAAGTAGATATTAGAGATCAAATAACAAGAACAGATTACAGGTAAAGAAAACATACACATTAGCAGACTCCCTGAAGGAAATTGTATTTAAATAAGGTATGGTTAACTGCAATCGTGAACATTTAGAAAAACATACAAGTTAAAAAAATCCAGAATCATCAGATATTTTGCGTATGTTAAATGTTTAACCTGTAACTAAGATTAAAGGACTATATGGGCAGTCGAGAAGACCCAGCAAGGTCATCAGTGAGACATGGACCTGTAACATTATTTAACTACACAGATAAATAATCTGGGAGCTATGTTCATAAAGATCCTGAAGTACTAAATGAGTGTGTGTTAGGGAAAATATCGAGCATTTCTCAAATTTCCCACAGCAGCACTTGATAGCAAAAGTTATTAGAATATTAATCCATATAATATAATAGAAACCAATGATCCCATATCCAGGCAAAAGTTGGAATAAAGAGGAATACACTGTTGAGAGCATACTATGGCTCTGAGATGGTTATTTCCATATGATATTCTTCCAAGAAGAAATATTATAGGACAAATTTTGACCAACACGCAAATAAGTGAATGTGCTATGGTAGAGAGGCATAGAATATACCTGTATTGAAACACAGACATTAAACGCAAACACTGTAGAAGTCAGGGTCACTGAAAAAAAAAATATGGAACTTCACAATGCAGAAAATCACGTAACTAATGAAAATAGAAATGTGAGAAAGAAAGTGGAAGTATAAATGTGCTGATACCATCAGTTGCAATAACCATTCAAAAAATGAAATGTGAATTTGATAAACAGAAATAGAATTCAATGAAGAAAATGTAAACACATGATAAATAGGTAACAATCAGATAATGAAATAAATAGGAAATTAGAGACTGGAATTTAAAAAATAAATCAACAGGGTTCTAATCAACATCACATTTACAAAAGAAACAAGTTGAAGGAAATAATGCAAGTTCTCTTATACACCAGAAGACCCATGTCCCCTTCTCTACACACACAAGAAAGATGCAGATTAATGTGTAGCCCTATAAAGTCTTTAAACACAGGGATGTAATAAAAAAATCACAATACAGAACCAATATTATCTCTATAATATATACATAACAGATTAATATAAAGTATATATGTAATATCTATATATGGAATAAAAGCTCAACTATTGTTTCAGAAATGACAAAATCTGATTGTATATTCTATATAGGACATACAGCTAACACTAAGTATTCAGAAAAGATGAAGTTATACGGAGGCACTGTAAATATAAGATGAGGTTTGATTCAGGCAAAGAAAATCATCGAATTAGGTAAGGGAAGACACTTTATGCAGTAAAAAGGCACGATGCACAAAAAGAAAACTTTAAACTAGCTCTTCAGTTTGACTGCCTAGAGTTTGTTTAGAAGGAACAGCTATCCCAGTTACTACAAATAGTTGTATCACCTGTCCTGTTTCAATTATTTTTGGAACATTCTTTCACTCTTAAGATATCTGGTTTTAGAAGATAAATGATAGGACTGCCCTAGGTTTACTCCAGGAGTGAAAGAATGGTTGCACTGTATGGATTTTCAGCACTGTGTCACCAGGCTCATTCACAGTGCACACAATATGTAAAAGATTACATATACATACATATATACACACACACGTATGTATATGTGTATGTGTGTGTGTGTGTGAATTCTTATATAATTCTTGTATGGCTCTATTTTTTCCAATGACTTCTGGTTCCCAGGATCACAGCTTTATGTATGTTCCTCTTACAGGGTCCCCTGAAAGCCTTTCTGGAAGATTTAGGCAGACTGCAGAAGAAGTTTTATGCCAAAGATGAACGGTTACTCTGTCCCATCAGGACCTACCTAGTTACAGCCAGGAGCGCAGCCAGCTCAGGCGCCCGCGTGTTGAAGACTCTTCGCCGCTGGGGTCTAGAGATAGACGAAGCTCTTTTCCTTGCCGGAGCCCCCAAAGGTCCCATCTTGGTGAAGATCCGTCCCCACATCTTTTTTGACGACCAGATGTTCAACACTGAAGGGGGACAGAAATGCGGCACCATTGTGGCTCATGTACCTTATGGCGTTCATCAGAAATGCAGCAATTAGGGATTGGGAGAAGAAATAAAACACCTGACAGTCTGGTATTAGAGATGCCACTTCTTTGGGCTATTTATGCTAATTAGATAGGTGTTTCAGAAGACTGGACCTCAGGACTTAGCAAACATTTGGAAATGTTTTCTCTTCATGTTTGAACGCTCAAGTTACCTTCAAGCTACTTCCCTTTAAGCTGTCGGTGATGTTGAATGCCACTGCACCTAAGTCCATAAGTCTCAGTGATGACTCTTTAGGATCATTCTAGAACCTGAATACTTGAATGTTTAAGGGGCTGCTTGAGAAGCTAACTAAGCTTCGCCATAACACTGCTCATTCTTAATTGTTAATAGAATAAATGATTACCCATTATTGTGCTAGAACAGGGGTGTTCAGAGGTGGACTATGATTAAGTGCATTCTTAGAACCTAGATTTCTTTTATTCTGTTTCTTTTATGACCACCCTTTTAACCCATACTAAATGAAAAGGTCACTCCAACTACCCGCACATACCAATTTTGACACTGCTCATTCAGAAATAAATCAGTTGGTTATGCTGAAAGGTGTATTTCTAAGATGATCTCTAGATCAAACCCCCGGGAAGGTTTCTTGACAGCCTATTGCATGGGTTAGCTGCCTCTGGAACATAAAACTTCATGTTAGAACTCCGGCATTGGGCTTGACAGGTTGGCCCAATGACTTTATGAAGGAAAAACTTAAACTCTAAAAACCTCTTGGCCACTGCTTCAAAATGTAACATGAAGCATAGGATCTTGGCCCTTCATGGTTATTGTCTTGTGATTTTTGTTGTATTTCACCCAAAACTGGTTATTAACTAAAATACAACTTGTATTGACCATGAGATGGTCACTTTATGTTATGTTACCTCATTGTCTTATTAATTAAATGTTTGGATAAACATAATTATTACCTTCCTTTTTTATCAAATAACATAAAATTCAAAAACGTTATATGCTTGTCCAAGGAAATAAAGAATATAAGTTGTGAGATGGATTTAATCTCAGATTTACGCGAATAGCTGTATCTTCTCTTCTGTGGCCTTCTGAACAGAACTGTTGCTAATTCCATGGCCTTGGGACCCACCCAGCATACGCTGGTCATTCCATGGAGTCCCATGCACAGGCCACACAGCACAATCCCACAGCATGTCTAAGGATGCATCTCCTGCTTGCTTTCTTTCTCTTCCTCTGGCTACATAACATACCCAACCCTGGCTCAGGCTCACTGGGACCCACATCTCACATCTTTTGCTCTGCTTCCTAATCTGAAGGAAACCAGTCCAAAGAACACCAGTCTAGAACCCTGTGGAATGCTTAGGAACTCTCCAACGTGTGAAGAATTCAACGGGGCTCAGACATAAATCCCAGCCCTCAGGAAATCTGAAATTATAATAATCTTGTAGAAGAAATCAAAGGTGCAAACTCAAATACCCAACACTAGAGGGAAGTTTTTCAGTGCCAAAAGAATTACACTTTTTACTTTGATGGAGTAGAGACCAGTAACAGGTTTGAAGTGGTCAGGACAGACCGCAGGGCAAGGGCTGGCAGGATGTGTAAGAAGTGTAGAAAGCAAGAGGAGACAACAGACGCGCTGGGAGTTCACCCTGAAGAACCCCCTTCCGTATGCCTGCGGCTGCTGAGTCCACTCTTCCACAAGTGTGGGATTCTGTCCCACCACGGAGCTCCACATTCAATACTCCTAACAAAACTGCTACTGGAATGTACCCTTCACTCTCTGTTTTATGGGCGCTGTTCATACTTGTCTATTGGATGTCCTTTCCAAATTTGGGGAGCAGAGGGTGGTTTATGAGAATCTCTAGGGAACTGATTTCAGACCTCCCAGGTTGGCCATCTCTTCAAGTTGTCCTGAAGAATCGGGAATGGGCAGCAATTGGGAACAGGGGGAACTTTATGTGCTTACACAGTAAGCACCCAGAGGGCCAAAATTACACCCAGACGCTTTGTGACTCTCACCGCGTCTACACGGGGTGGGTTTGTAGATGAATGGATGAGGCTGCACAAGCAGGCTTAGCATAAACTACAGCTCTTAGAGAGGAAGAAGTCTCTAAGACAAGTGGAGCATTCAGGAAACATCTTACAGTGTGCAATGCACATTACCCTCCATGGAGACAGGAATTTTGCATGAGGAAGTCTAGGAGGCATCTGAGCGTGGGTGTGCTCGGAAATCTCCTTAGAATAAATTGAAGCTTCAAGCACTGCGCTGAGACCATCTGAGCAGGGCTTTTTCAAATGGAACCAATACCGCAGTGGGGCTTCGTCCATGTCCTCATACTGCGCTCCCAGGATCAGCAGCACTAGGCTGCAGGTAAATTCTCAGGCTCCGCCTTGGAACTACAGGATGTAGGACAAGGGCCTGGCCCTGCGTGCTTTCCTTTCATTTGCTCCTCCACTACTCCAGGGATTCGGGTGCACGGCAAGGGCTACGAACCCCTAGACCCACCCATTTCCAACCGGCTCATGTCCTAAGTCTCACCTAGCAGAGACCTTTCTCAGGCTTCCTTGGGGCACAGAACCGAGTCCCAGCAAAACTCGCTTGAACTCCCCTCAGACAGTGGCAACTGTAACCCGGAGCATAATTGGTCATGGCAAAACTTTTTCATCCTGTAGTTACCACTTCGAATTTCAATGGCTGCTGAAGGCCCCCAAAACCTGGAAGCGGCGCGCTTTAGAATGCCGGCATATTCCACCGCCGGGGCAAACCCGGAGCGCGGGAGTCCCTCGGCCAATCAGGTGCCCTCGGGAAGGAAACTACAAGTCCCGGCAGGCCAGGCGCGCCGACGCGGGACGACAGTGCGCGCCCCAGAGTTCTTCGCGCACAAGTGGCAGCTGGGACTCGGGCCGGAAGGCGGAGGCTGCGGGAACCCCGCGCCGGGGCCGGTGGGCCCTGAAGCTGGGCGGCTATGGCAGTTGCTACCGCGGCCGCACTGCTCGCTGCACTGGGTGGAGCGCTGTGGCTGGCAACCCGGCGCCGTGTCGGGCCTAGAGGCCGGAGGTTGCGCGGAGGCGGGGACCCTGGCCTCATGAAAGGGAAAACGGTGCTGATCACCGGGGCCAACAGCGGCTTGGGCCGCGCCACGGCCGCCGAGCTGCTGCGCCTCGGGGCGCGGGTCATCCTGGGCTGCCGGGACCGCGCGCGCGCCGAGGAGGCTGCGGGGCAGATGCGCCGCGAGCTCCGCGAGGCCGTGGGCTCCGAGCCGGAGGGCGCGGGCGAGCTGGTCATCCGGGAGCTGGACCTCGCCTCGCTGCGCTCCGTGCGCGCCTTCTGCCAGGAGATGCTGCAGGTGTGGGTTCGAGGGCGTCGAGGCGGAGAGCAGGGGGCAGAGGACGACCGGGGGGCGCGGCCGCGAGGGGCGGGCCGGTGGGAGGGCTCGAGCTTCACCTTGGGCCTTCGGAGGGAAGGACGTGGCATGGGGACGGCGCTGAATTCAGGTTTTCCCTGGCTGGAAGAAGTGGGGCCCCAGAAGTGCTATTTCAGTAGGCTCCCTGGCCCAGCCTCTGCCACAGGGGAAGGTTGTCCTGGCTCAGCCCTTGCCAGCGTCTCTCTTCACCCGTCACCTCCCGCGGGGGTGAACAGTGCTGTCCTTGCAGCTTCCTGGTCCTGCTCTCCACAGGAGCCTCCTATCCAGCACTTAACATAAGTTTGCTGACTTACCAAGCATTTAGATCCGCACACACCCCCCCTTTTTTTTTTTCTTTTTTCTTTGGCTTACATACAATCACAGTGCTTTTTGGCTGTGTCAGTTCTCTAGCCTTCCCTGTAACCCTGCATACAGGAGGCACCCAAGGCAGAGGAAGGCTGAGTAATTTGCCCTGTGGGCTGTTTCCGGAAGAGGTTGGATTCCTACCACCCCTGTGAGGCAGCCTGGATTGAGTTTCTGATACTGACTTTTTTGGTTTTGACCTGGCCTGACGCAGACTGCGGAGTGAACCAGCCGATTTCTTTCGTAGCACTGCTCCTGACTTACAGATACATAGCTGCATTTTCTAGAAATTAAAAATCGACTGGTGCCACCGTGGTGAGCATGTAAGTTGCCTGATGAGGACAGAGCCGCTCGCCTTGCCCAGCCTTCTCAGTAACCTTTCCGTCGCCATCGTAGGCCCACTTCATGTATGAACAGGTCCAGAAGACCCAACGTTCACATCCTAACAATGTCAAGGAAAGAAAAGATACTTGATTCTTACATGCTCCTGATTGCTGATCGGAAATGCATGTCTGATGGTCCCTGTGCCAGTTTCTGAAAGATTAGCATCAGGCTAGAGGCGGCCGCCACCACTTCCTCTTGTTACCATTGCACTTGCTGCCAATGGCTAGCTCAGCTCCACCAAGAGATGTCCTCATCCGGAGGAATACACAGCGTGGTCTTGAAGCTGTGAGCCAATTACCGCTAGTGGATGTTGAGGTGTTGCGCCTTTCCTCTGAAAATTTCAGGTACCCCACAGCACCTCAGCATGCAGCTCTGCTGGCTCCTACAGGTTAGGGGTTTTGTTTTCATATGCTAATACTTTATTATTATGTTAAGAAATAAAGCCAGTGTTTGAACAATGTTGGGGCCAGTCTCCAAATACAGGTGGAGCCGTATCTCCCTCATTCCTGAGACCTGTGCTGTTTTGTTACTTTGAATACTTGGGGAAGAACTTGAACAGAGATAAGGCCTCTGACAGATAACTAAGTCCACCTTGTGTCTAAGCATTTACCCTTGCTGGCCATGAAGTTCAGTAACTATAATTAGCCGGGGGTGGGGGGAAGGAAGTGGTAGATTTCCCACATTTTGGTATTCTTGGTATTTAGGTAGTTTATCTCCTAGAATTTAAAGAATAGTAAATGATAAAGTCTTAAAATAACACAAGCCCAGCAAAGAATGATGGCTCCAAAATGATTAATTGGGGAAGCACTTCCAAAGGATTAGTGAGGAACACTCCTTCCTTTCCCCTATGGGTGAACCCAGCCCTGTTTTTGAAGTTGACTGTTGGAAAGCTTGAAGGTGCGCAGACAGGCCACATGAGAAGTGCTTAATCTGCCGACAGGTACGCTTTGATAGCAGTTGTGAAATTGAAGACCTTTTTTCTGCTACCCTTGGCAAAGGGGCCGATGAATTCTAAAATTTGCCCTCCGCTGAATGTAATCCTGGGTCATCCCTGTCCTCACACCTGGCACGTGTACATTGCTTTCTTCTGTCCATCTGGAGATGTGGGAGCCCAGAAAGAGCAAGAGAAGGCAAACCTCATAGAACTTAAAGAGTGAACAGACTTCCCTGGGAGAACAGTCCACGTTTTAGGACTTCTGACGAATGATACATGCAAGCGGAAAGTCTTACGTTTTTGTGTACTTGACCTAGTCTATTATGTATTCCAGTTTTGAGGAGTACTTGGAAGTCCTTGCGTTCCCGTAGAGCTGTTTGCCGTTGGGGGACTACAGAGTCTACAGAGTTGGTCAGTTTTGCTTTGCCTCTGGTGTTGATCCTCGTGGCTGCCGCAGTCAACAGTGCTGACCTGTGTTGAGCTGTGTATGATTGCTAGTACACAGTAGTTCTGTAGCTTTAAAAAGAAACCGTAGAAGGCCAACCTAGCACACACTAATTATAAGAGCAGTGGGACCTAAAGGTTTCTAGATCTGATTTTTGTGGGATACCTTGCGATCACCTTGGGGTTTTGTATTTTGATTTCTACGTCGGAGATAGGTCACTTGTAGAAAGTACAAGACCAAATCCTTGTTTAGTATCTAATTTTTTTTTTCTTACACTTAACAGCTTACAGAAGAACATTTTGTAGAATTTTAGTAGTAAAAATTGTTAAGATATCATGGGTACCACTGTTATGATGTTATCCTCCTTAACATAATTCCCTAATTAATATTATCTGATTTAATTTCCAGCTGAAATTAAGGGGATGTATTGAAATCACAGGAATGCTTTGTCCTCAACTTGACTGTATTTCTATTTTAATAATAATGATAATAATAATAAAAAGGTGTGTTGTTGATCAGATAGCTGACTTCCTAAGGAAATTTTGAAAAACAGTTATTTCTAAATACTAATACGTTAAAAAGGAAATTAAGAAATTAAGTCTTAGGCTCTGTCTTTATGCCACGTCCTGGCAGATAAGCACTTGTTTAATAGACCGGAATGAGAGCTGACAAGTGAAGCAGCGTATCTGACTGTCCTACCTGAGCAGGGTCTTGCAAAGGAATCCCTTTCCCTCCGGAATGAAGAGTTGCCAGTGTCCTAAGCAATTCTCTGGTCCGTAGTCTAAAAGCAAGTTCAATTCTGGAATTGCTGTTTCTGTTGAAAGCTGCGAAGTGGAAGGCCTCTGTCGCTAACGGTGCTGTTCTCTTTCTGACCTAGGAAGAGCCTAGGCTGGATGTCTTGATCAACAATGCGGGAATCTTCCAGTGCCCTTACATGAAGACAGAAGATGGGTTTGAGATGCAGTTTGGAGTGAACCACCTGGGGCACTTCCTACTCACCAATCTTCTCCTTGGCCTCCTGAAGAACTCAGCTCCCAGCAGGATCATCGTCGTTTCTTCCAAACTTTATAAATATGGAGACATCAACTTTGACGACCTCAACAGTGAGCAGAGCTATAATAAAAGCTTTTGCTACAGCCGAAGCAAACTGGCTAACATTCTTTTTACCAAAGAATTAGCCCGCCGGCTTGAAGGCACAAACGTGACTGTGAACGTACTGCATCCTGGGGTGGTGCGGACCAACCTCGGGCGGCACATCCACATCCCGCTGTTGGTGAGACCCCTTTTCAATTTGGTGTCTTGGGCTTTCTTCAAAACTCCAGCAGAAGGTGCCCAGACTTCCATTTATTTGGCCTCTTCCCCCGAGGTGGAAGGGGTGTCTGGAAGGTACTTTGGGGACTGTAAAGAGGAAGAGCTACTACCCAAAGCTATGGATGAGTCTGTTGCGCGGAAACTCTGGGACATCAGTGAAGTGATGGTTGGCATAGTGAAATAGGAACAATACTGGCTGGCTGTGACAGCTAGGGTGTGGAGGGGCGTGGCCTGAGCACTTGACAGCAGCACTACTGCGAGGAACATGCAGACATTTCAAAGTTATGAATGTTAGGTTTTGGGTAACAAAAATTCAGCAAAAATGCTTTAAATATATTGAGTGAGTATAATGAGCAGCACAATTGTGTTTTTATAATGCAATTGAACAAGCGTGGAAAACAGATACAGGATTTCATGACTTGAAATACATATGTTGAAATGTTTCTCAAATATATTTTGAGTGTCATGACCAAAGTATGAGATATTTTTGCTATGATGCTGGCTTCTGTGTGGAAAAAGTGCACCTGGTGTGTGCACTCAAATCTCACTTGCAATAAATGTTGTGTGGTTTCTTCATTGTGTATTTCTTCAGAGGAGTCACTGAGGCAGTCCCCGTGTCTCCTCTAGTCTCCTGACTGCTCTCTGTACAGTACTGTCACGTAGTCCGCATGCTCTTCTCAGAGGCTTTATCTCAGAAACCCAACTCCTTATCACACTACGGGTTCAAAACCTCTCATGCTTTTCAGTCAGTCCTTCTTTCTTTAACCTTCAGAATTATTTGTTCAGACGAAGTCTTTTGCACAATTGTAGCAGCATTGGAGATGAAATAATTTATAGCAGTGCTCCAGGAATACAGTCCCCCCAGGCTATTCCCAAAGGGATTTAGTAAAAGATAGCAGTTTATAACCCAGCTCGAATTAAATTAAATCTTAAATTGCCTTGTGTACTTGAGATGCTAGAAACTAGTAACAGGCTTATCACCCCTGCACTCCACACCATCCCATTGCCCTCCCTGCATTGAATCCTCTGTGGGCTGACCCACAAGATGCACTCCAGACTCATGGTTGGGTGAACTGGAGCTCAGGGCTGGCTGGAATCCAACAGTGTTACTAATCTAGAAAGGCCCATGCCTGTATGCTGGTGTTTTCTACAGCACGTGCCTGGTCACTGCTGGAGGACGAGGCCTGGGTGTGGAGCACTTGCTGCCTGGGAGTTCTTTGCATGGATCTTGGAGTCCAAAATGCCACCCCAACCCCTTCTCCCTCGGAATGCTGCTCCCCCTTTAGTGCCGCTCAAGTGCTCCTTTCTCCAAGCCCTGGCAGAAGCAGTACTCTTCCTACTTGGTGGCCTTACTAGGAGTTCAGTGCAGTCATCATGTGTTCATAGGCCCAGATAGAGAATTAAAATAGGAAGTCCCCAAGGAAAGGTTTATTTTAGTTTTCTCTTGCAAGAATCAAGTATAGTAACTGACACAAAGCAACAATGCAATGCATAGTGAATAAATGGTGTGCATAAAAACAATGCAGCCCAGATAAGAATATTGTAAACATCTGTTATAGCATCCAAATTAATGCATTTGTCTTGACATCTGGGAAAGGAAATAATGACACCTTCAGGACAGGCAGTGACCTGAATTTAATGACCACATTGTCCGGGGACGGCTTTGATTGGTTCTTGTTTTAGAGCTGTTTATGGCATCTGGTTACCCATTTCAGTTCGAAGTAGAGTCCCGGGATCTTGGCAGATCACACACAAGGTCTGTTTTCTGTTAGAGCATTGTGTTGTGAATATGAGAAACCGTTTGTATCATCACAGGTGTGTCTCTAACTACAGTAGGAATAGTTGCATCATGTCCTTTGAAACATTGTACTTTTAAAAAGTAATCCTGCGAAGAGACCTGCTGAACCTAGAAATATGGGCAGGAAATATACCAGAATGCAACTTGGAAAAATAGAAGCTAATAAATCTGTCCTACACCTCGACTTCATTAAAAAGGAGTTCCTTTTTTCATTGAATACCATCTCACTTGGCTGCAGTTTGATACTTGATGCTTTTCAGGGGATTTGGGCCTTCTGTAAGGGCTGAACCTTTCAGAGTTCTTGTTTGTGGCACCATAATAAAACAGGATACATTATTATGATGGAAAACAAAAAAATCTTATCTGGAAACTCCAACTATGACGGTAAAATGAGCTGCCACTTGGAAGGTGTCCTTCCTGCCGGCTGTGTGTGACAGAACGAGGACTAATCACTCCAGTATGGACTGTCTCTGAAGGCTGCTGTAGCCCTGTAGGTCTCTCCTTTCTCCCTTCTGGCCATTTCACAGTGCAAAGAGGGATCAGGCAATCCTGTTATTTTCATATTTATTCTCTCCCTTTCCAAAATAGCATTGTGGGAAACATACAGTGTGCCAGGTAATGGAAACTGGTGAGTTGAAGACATTTTTTTTCATCTGTGCTTCGTGGTGTTTTTGTTCCTGTTTCGGAGGGGTCGTTATCTGAGTCCTATTTCAAGCAGTTTGTTCTGAGAAGAGAGAAGATGGCTGGGCCATTTCTCCCAACTTCACTCCAGAGCAGCTACACAGATTGTAATAAGGGCATAATGAGAAAAGCAATCCCGCTGGTTAAACACCCAGCCTACAGGGGGCTAGCTGCACTCCACCACCATACTACCTGTGACTGAGGAATTCCTTACCCTCCCTAAACAGCTGTTTCCTCAGCTGTGTCACCGAGACAGAAATGGCTGTGTTTAAAGCATTTCTCAGAGAATGTGAGTCACAGAGCAAATAATGCCATTACCAAAGTGCCTGGCACATAGAAGTCGGAGAGCACACCCATTTCTCCTCCCCATATACCTAGTCCTCACTATTCATGGTAACGGTAATTAGCAATAGTGATGGTTGGGTGAATTCAAATGATGGAAACATAGTTCTAAACCAAGGATCAGCAAGCTTTTTGTCGTAGTTAAGGCTCTGTGGCCCATATGCAGTCTGTTACATAAAGCCATAGAGATGATTGTTAAGTAGCAAAAGCCAGCCATCATATTTATGTGACTAGCACAGTCGTCCAAGCCCATTGTACTCACATATTTGTTTGTCTTTAAAGCGCAGTGTCATGTCTATGGTCATGACTCTCGCTCTGCAGGGCTGCATTTATTTTCCATGGTATACCTCATCTTTGTGACTATTTGTTTGCAGACCCAGGAAATCCACCAAGTGTGTTTTTCGAATCTATCTCCAACTATAGATTCTGGTGTGAGGAATAGCAGTTATCTGCCTTCAGCTTGCTCCCCTAACAAACCTGCTGGGTCTGGCCAGAGATCTGAGGGATTCTATATTTGAATATTTAATTGATTCCAAATGTCTTAAGGAACCCTGAAGGGAGAACATGTTACTAATCACACTTCAGGATCTTGGCCCGCACAGACAGCCTCAGATGTTTCACAAACCCTCTCTGGATGACGGGAAGTTAAATTAGTTACAGGCTAACATGGAAGAAGGTAGTTTATTCCTAAAGGATAGTTAGATGGAGTGCTCCGTCTCATGCAGACAGTAAGGGCTTTTGCTAGACCAGATGTTTAATACAAATACAGTAGATGCACTCTTAACCGCTAGCTAACACACTTTCTGTAATTACTGAATCTCTTTTCTGATACCCGTACTGACTGGTGGCTGTGGTGCGTGAGTGTCCCAGGCTCTTGGCCTCCCCTTCAGCTCACCTTAGCCCACCTTGCTCCCTCCTATTGTGCACTTAGGAAGAACAAATTTTGTATTGTCTGAGTCTATTTCATGTCTCTGTAGTGATATTTGAGGATGGGCAATTTATAAAGAATAGAATTATACTTTGACTTGTGGGTCTGTATGCTAGATGGGCTTACTACAGCCCCGAAGCAAAGTACTGGCTTCTGCTTGCTTTCTGGTGATGACATCAGGCCGCAAGAATGCCTGGTGCAAGAGCAGAAGGGCCAGCGAGGACAAGCACATGAGCAAGTATGAGGGTGGATGCACCTTTGAGAGAATTCACCCACTTCTACAGAAAGCCATTCATCCACCTAAACCTAATCACCTCCTGACTGGCAACACCATGACATTGGCAGTCAAATTTTAACTTGAGTTTTGAAGGGGACAAACTATTTTAAAGCCATAACACATAGCTTCTACTTCTTTACATATTGAATATTTCTCACATGTCTGTTGTGCACTAGGCAATGTTCTAAACTCAGGGGGTACAGGAGTCCACAAAGAAAACCCATGTGTGTGTGTGTGTGTGTGTGTGTGTGTGTGTGCACGCACGCACACATGGGTCTGTTACTTGCTATACTTTTCCATTATCACACAAGTTATCAATCATAATGCAAACCAGTGCACTATGACTACAAAGGGAAGGAGAACTATGAAAAGCAGACTGAAGGGTAGGCATTTGGCTTCCTGATTAAGATGCTTTCCTCCCTTATCAAGTTTTTAAATTTGAGAACCTGGCTCAGGATCCTAGACTCCAGCTCCCTGCTAATGGAGATCTGGGCAGGCATGAGATGATGGCTCAAGTGTGTTACCATTCCCCGCATGGGAAACCTGGCTAGAGTACCAGACTGCCTGCTTTGGCCTGGCCCAACACAGCCTCTGCACAACTTAGGAGAAGGAAGCCGATGATGGAAACACCCTCTCTCAGCCTCTCAAATAACTCTCTGGCATTCTTTTAATGGTGTTATTAATTGTACTAAATACAGAAATTCTTGCATACTTAATAAGTTAATGTGTCATTTTTCTCCCTTAGGTGTTGCCACTTCATTATGCTGAGTTACAACTGGGTCTGTGCCCAGTTATGGTACTTTTAGACTCAAAAAAAAAAAAAAGAAAGAAAAAAAACAACAACAAAAACAGTTTGAATACCTCACAAATCTAGATAGCTCTCCAGCAATTGGCAGAATGGGAGTTTCTATAAATCCTACGAATAACCTCTGCTTTGTTCCTGTGAGTCTACCAAGGGGAACTAAGTAAGTAGGATTGTAAGCTTTAAACAGATCGGCGCAGGCTGACATGCACATTGGTATTTCAGGTCTATCTTGAAGCTGTACACGTAGTTTGAGGAAATCCTGAACACAAAGAATATATAATCACTATTAGTTTGTGGGGGGAAAAGGTGAAGCGGTTTCTGCCACCATGCCATGAAAGTGCAGGAAATGGCTTCACGTAGTAGGTGTTGCAGTCCAAGCATTCTGTTGACAGAAGCGGGTTCTACCCGGGCGTTTTGTGTTAATGTAATCAAACACTTGAGAGCAGCAGCCCAGCAAGCTCAAGTCCACCCACCTCAGAGTTTATCTTTAGCTCATCTGGAAGAGTTTATTTTAAACATTGAACATTGTTTGCTGCTGTTGAAATGAAAGTGAGGGAGTTACAAGCTTTCTTCCACTGCCATCTGGCAGATTTACTGATGGATCGGGTTCTTTAATCCATGTAACCCTGTGTGTGGGAGCTATTGTCTTTGTGTTGATGGTGCAGCTGGCTTGGCTGAACTTTAAAAAGCTCACACAAAGCTATCAAGAGCCATCCTATAGATAAATGGACTTGGGGATG